TATTGGATGTGCAGGTAGTGTAATGAATAATGGCTATGAATTTTTAATCGGAGAGCTGAGTTCCAATTCCCATCGAGTGTGTTAAATTCACTTACGCACAAATACCCGTGGGAAAGGTATAGATATTCTTATTATCCCCCCAGCTATGGGTTAATTAGTAAGACTTGTATCTCTAAAATCATTATTATATGAAAAAAATTCTTAGTCTAAAAATATGTTCTGATTTTAAATAACCTGCAAAGGGTTGATAACCCGTAGAAAACGAATCGCTCTTACTCAACAAACTCCTTTAGCAAGCCTCTACCCTGAGTGGCTCTTGGGCCTTGTATAGGGTGAACACTAGCAAAAGAAAATCTGAATACCTTTTGCACCTTAGTGAAAATCAATTATTCTTTTATTATTCAGTTGGAACTTGAAAATATTTTAAAATATTCAAAGGAAAAACTCAATTTTTCTAGCCGATTCTCTAAGAATATATTCCGATATTAGGTGTGGATATTTAATCTCTAATGATGTTAATCCGTGTACCCGGTACTCTAAACAAAATATTGAGATGCTCGTTTCTTAAAATATCTGTTTCAACCACTGGATCTTGTAAGAGGTACCTTGAACGCTGCCAAATGTTTTTGCACCTGATGTCCACAGCCGTCAGTCTATTTGATATCCGGCATAAATAACTAACACTGACAAATGCCGACCGGCGTCAAGTGTGAACTTGGACAATTTGGCACGACTGTACTTTAGCTGTGAATCAGGGTGGGAACCTGCAGAAACTAGCGAACAACGATAGAGAAATCCGACCTGTGCATGACACACCTGAGATGGCCTAACACTCTTGGTTGTCGACGCTGAATCACATGGCATTTTATATACGCAACAACCAGTAACATCAATGTCACACCGAGTAACGATTTCGAGAGAGCCCGAGGGTGGAGAGCGGGTAAACATGGTTTTGTGCTCGAGCACGAATGTCCAGCCTGAAATCGACCAGGGTTTCATTATAGCTGACATAAAGCGTGATCAGATCGGTGAAGGCGTCTCGTATTGCAGCCTCGGGTTCGATTTACGTTCAAGCAAGCCAGTAGCAACATGTCGAGATTACGAATCACGTCTGACAAGATTAGGGTTACAGCGTTATTGCGTTAGTGGGTGTTCAGTGTGCGAGCTGATGCAAACAGACCTTGGGTACAGGGATTTCGTCTCTGTGGCCCCAGGGGATCCTTTTCGTCTACTTCTGAGTCATCGCTTGCTGTTGTGGACAAGTGGCGAAAGTCAAACATTGTTCGATAACAATGGACCATGACACTAAGATTTGGGATAATTATTTAGTCCTCGATTACAATTTATTGTATATAAGAGAATCTCCCTATCAATTATCTCCATATATATATATATATATATATATATATATATATATATATATATATACACGGAGCTGCAAAAGTAGGTATATGCTGAGTATTATACCAGTATTATAATATTAAATATTTTATTTTCATAAGTTTTAGTATATTACATTTATTATAATTATAATTTTTTAGTAAATAATAATAATAATAATAATAATAACAATAATAATGTCTTGCAGGAAAAGGCGTGTGTATGAATGAAGGGGGTCAAACTGTATGAGAGTTTGAGGGATTGATATGTTTATTATTGATATGCTCGTAAAGTAATTTTCCAAGCGTAGCTTAGATGTTGTACAATGCCAAAAGTAGGGCACACCCAGTCAGGATCGAACTCACTACCCAGTCGTAATTGTCCTAGCAAGACAAGCTCGCTAACTGTTATATACCGTAACTATGAACACTAATGGCTATGTCTCAATCCTTAAAAATACATTGGAAACCATTGTAAGTGGAGGTAATATGCTAAGTAGTCCACCACTAGCAGTGGTTTACCTACTTCACGCCGCTGGCGAGTATAGTGTTTTCGTGATGTTGTAAAGATTACCATTTTCATTTACAACCTCCCTTTTGGTTTTCCTCATTCAGTAACCCTTTCTAAGTTACAACACTAACCATTTGACAGCCTCGAGGTGACCATTGATATGTTTGTCTAAGAATGAAATACAAAATATGTGCACAAAACGTATTACGTTTTGTGCACACGTTTTGTATTTCATTGCTATATACTACTTTTGCACACACAGAGACATTACATTATATATATATATATATATATATATATATATATATATATATATATATATATATATAAATTAATTGATTTAAAATGTTTTTTTCCGCTACACAGTTCTAACCAGGTTTCAAAAAATGGAAGCTAAAAGCCACAAATTTAATTTTGCGATTAAATTAAAAAATATTAGTTCCATTTCATCCTCAAGCGAATTTTGGAGTAACTTTTAAAATTACTGGGTTTTAAAGACACAGCTGAAATCACGTTTCCATGGTTACAGATAAATCTACTTCAACTGGACAAGGGGTGTCTGGGTTTTCCTTATGTCTGCATCATTGTATCGGTTATTAGCTACATTTTGGTAAGGGGTAGGGATGTATTTTTCAATGAAAACTGACATCCATTGAATGCATGTCGTCTGGATTTTTTTTTTTTTTTTTTTAAATTTATTGTTAACGGCAAAAAAATTCTTACGGCATATTTTTCTATTTGTAAATTTAAAGATTTTTGGGGGTGTTCAGATTAGAATACTTTTTATTTAACTACGATTTGAAATATTCTCATTTTTAATTTTTATTATACTATATATTTTTTAAGAACAGTTAAATGTATTAGAATCCCTTACAGCATGTAGGATTATTTTTACATCAAGTATGTATATTAGGTTACATTTTTATTTTATTTTATTTATTTATTTATTTTTTTATATTATTTAAGTGAAATTTAACAATGACGTTAGTTACTTAATTTCACTGATTTAGTAAACTTTTTATTTTTTATATATATATAAACCTAGTAATATATTGTTTCTCATGTAAGTACAAAGGACATGGGTCATTCAAAAGCTTACATCTTCTGGCATTTCATATTAATTTTATTTTACTATAGGTGTTTTATTGGATTCTTTTTAAGTGTAGTACTAAAAAAATTTAGTTTAGAAATCATTTTAAACTACAATTTTAATTACAACTTTAAAATATTTTCATTGTTAGTTTTAATAGATTATATTACTTTATAACAGAAGGAAATGTATTTGAAATTACTTATAGTAAGTAAAATAATTTTCCATATCAAAGTATATGTATATTTTTTTATATTTAAATATTATTTAAGTAATATTTATGACACGTACTGCAAAAATAATAATTCATTTCTCAGATTTAGTAAACTTTATTTATTAATTAATTTATTTATTTTAAATATATATAAACTCAGTAATAAAGTTTCATATGTATGTACAAAAAGACATGGGTCGTTCACTTACATCATCTAGCTTTTCGTTATAATTTCATTTTTCAGTAGGTGTTTTATTGGATTCATTTAAGTGCCGGTAAGAGGTGTTTAGGTTAGAATACATTTTATTTAACTGCAATTTTTAAAAGATGCTTAGGTTAGAATTCGTTTTAACTACAATTTTAAATACAACTTTAAAATATTTTCACTGTTGTTCCAATAGACTTATGAGGGTTTCTACAGTTACATAGTTTTTGTTTATTTCCATCAGTTTTTATCTTTATTTTTCCATTGTCTAAATTTTTTTGGTTTTGGTATAAGTGTCTATTTAAGATATTAGCATTATGGTTCTTAATGATTTTTTCTAAGTTTTCTGTACAGCTATAACTCAATTTTCGTAATTAAATAAAAAGTATTCTAATCTGAACACCCGAAGATCTTTAAATTTTAAAATAGAAAAAATGCCGTAAGAATTTTTTTTGCCGTTAACAATAAATTAAAAAAAAAAATCCAGACGACATGCATTCAATGGATGTCAGTTTTCATTGAAAAATACATCCCTACCCCTTACCAAAATGTAGCTAATAACCGATACAATGATGCAGACATAAGGAAAAACCCAGAAACCCCTTGTCCAGTTGAAGTAGATTTATCTGTAACCATGGAAAACGTGATTTCAGCTGTGTCTTTTAAAACCCAGTAATTTTAAAAGTTACTCTCTTCGCATGAAATGGAACTAATGTCTTTAATTTAATTGCAAAATTAAATTCGTGGCTTTTAGCTTCCATTTTTGAAACATGGTCAGAACTGTGCAGAAAAAAACATATTTTAAATCAATTAATTTATAATATTAATGCTCTGTAAATTTACATCGAGCACTATTTTGTAAAAATAAAATACCTATAAGAACACCGGATTATATATCTTACTGTTCTTTCTTTATATATATATATATATATATATATATATATATATATATATATATATATATTACAACAAAATCCCAAATTACCTCATATGGGGATAGATCTATTTCAACAAACGTTAGTCTTATTCAACCCCGGTGTATAGACTGTATTCATATCGGAATTAGAGATTCAAAATTTAACTTTGACAGCAGTCGAAAAATTGATACAGAACCTACCTATTTTGACGCCTCAGTCAGACGAAATGCCCGGTGGTGAGGTGAGGACGGAAGTTATCAGTCATAAACGGAAGAAGTTCTACAAAATCAACCCGGATATTAATCTTATGACCCTAAATTGGGGTTATATGAAGAATGAGGTGATGAATTGAAACTTAAAAAAGGGCCAAAAAGTGGGTTTTATATACAGAAAAATTGAATTATATATAAAATAATTGTTTCCACTTAAAAAATAACAAATTATATTTACAAATGAGATATATTAACAAGATTAACAATAAATCCTATTTAGATAATTCATATTAAGAAAGAATATTTAAAAAATATATATTAAGAAATAAAAAATGAAAGATAAAATAAATTATCCATTTATAACTTTAAAGGTAAGTGAAATTATTAAGAAACACCAAACCATACCAAGTTATATTAAAAAAATATTACAAAAGTATATGGATAAAGAGGTGTAAGTAATAAAAGAAAAGAG